TCATCTTTCGGGAATGCTCTAAGACTTTGTGTCCATGTGGCAGCGCATTTGTTGACTTTTATTTGGTAAAAATAAACAGCTAAACCATGAACATTAGTTTCTGAAAAATAAAACTAAACTTAGTAAAGGATTTTATGTTTGCTTTGTAATTTAATTCTACATTAAGCCTCAATTTATCTTTAAAGTTCATGATTGACTATTCGGTTCAAGTGACTATTTCATCAAATACTTGTATTGTATACTTAAATTTCCATATTTCATAAATATCATTGCTTCAAAAGGGATATGAGAGAACGTAACTTACTTTTGATTCAGCGAAATTAGTGGGTTTTTCCTGATCATTTTGTCTCTTTTGAAGTATAACTATTGGTGATACTCCATTTATTCTTCTTGACTGGTTAGCCTCCTGCTCTACAACTTGAACTTTGGAGCGCAATGCTCTATATTGATCACATTGACCGGGTCGGTAAAACTGGAAATAATCATTTTCTTGGCCAACTTCTTTATATACATCCCCATTGGCCTGCCCCTGACAAAAATTTACTGAGTATTCTTTTCTCTGGGAAACATATTGGCTGCTTTCGTCACTTTTCCTCTTTTTGCCCTTTTGTCGATCTTGCTCTGCTTCTTCATATTCTTTTAGCTTTTCGCCTTCATTAAATACAGCTTGTTTTGGTAGACCTTCTTGAAACGTTAAAGGTGTAGATTTTTCCGTGGTTTGATTTAACAATCCACTCATCATCGCACATGAGGTCATAATCCGTGCATCTACAGCTGCTGAGCAAGTTTGCTTTTTTACTTGACCGGCATAAAATGGATGCCGAACCGCTCCCATCTCACGCCAGATTGAAGGCCCTACTCCATAGAGCTCATCATCCGTCTGGCTCTGCTTTCCGTTCTGAGATGTACAGGGAACAGAGCAACGTGTCCTAGCAGCCAAGACATCAACGGTAACAGACTTAACTGGTGCAGAATAGGGCCTTCGGTGTATCAAAGGGGTTGATTCATTGACAACTGCATCACTAGAGCTTCGATCTAAATATCTAGTGGATGAAGGAGTCGGCTTAACTAGACGGAGAACTCTAGGAGTTGATGAAGTAGGATCCATAAAACAGCGAGTTCGATCGTTGCAAGGAGAGGTTTGAAGATCTGTTTTAACATGTGAATAAAATATGATGACCAACTTCGAATTCTAACGAATTAAGCATATAAAATAATCTTAACTCAAAGAGCCAAAAATGACTTCAAAAGCTTAGTGGGAGATAGGCCAAGTGATTTAGATTCAAAAAAGATTGTTTCTAAAATATTAGATATTTGCAAGAAATAGTTTATAAGATAATAAGCTTTGATTCTAAAACGCCTAAAAATATATGACAAACCTAAAGGTTGGCACTCAGTAATTTGCATAATCATTTTAACAAATAAAAAACGCTACTGTTATTTGAAAATTTAAAGGAATATAGAATATACTTTGATCCTGATAGCTGGTAAAAATCAAATTATGAACCTAAG